TCGGCCCTATTGTGAGAGGTCAATTTTTGCCTCCTCTCCCTAATCAATTTTAGGTCAAGAGTATGGCGAGGAACATCGTTGGGACGACCGGCCGCCATGGAGGCTATTTCGTCCTCGGATTTGGTGTCATCGGAATCCTCACTGGAGGAAGAAGAAGTGCTAGGGAGGTCCTCCGCCTCAGCCCTGGCATTTGTCGCCGTCTTAGTAGAAACACCGGCAAACGGAACTGGGATGGCATCTACGATGGCGTTGTCACGGTCATCTCCATGAGAGGCCATCTCCGAATCAGAGGAATGCTCTTTGGGGCTCATCTCGATCGAAGCCAGAAATGAAGATAGGGAATCCAAAGTTGGGAAATTACCTGAGCAAAGGAAGCAGGTGGAAATTTGCAGAGGAAACAACGAAGGCCAAAGAATTGCAGAGTCGAAACCCGGAATTGAGAAGTTAAGGGCTAATTTATAGCCTTGAAACCGCCGTGTCGAGAACCAATCAGAGAGCGACACATCACTAGGAGCATTTAAGCTAAACACGCGTCTAATGAAAAGACTAAACGACGGTTATCATGATGAATATGGGGAAATGAAGCGGCAGCCGTCAAATCGCAGCATGGGGAACTGATTACTTCTGTACCCCGATCGCCATTCGGGGTATTATAACATTGATATACTTCCTAATGCACTCACTTCGTTCGAGACATCGGAAGTGGGGGACTTGTGTTGGGATATTGACCTAGAGGCCCAATACCCAGATCGGGAAGGCCCAAGATATCCGGCCCAAGTAACAGGCCCATCACTCCATGATGAAAAGATCCAGTAAGGAGACATACCGAACGGGGTTCGGCCCAAATAAAGGTTGGCCCAATAAGAAGACATACCGAACGAGGTTCGGGCTATATATTATACTTGACAGTATCTTCAGTACGGACCAACATCCCGTTCGAGCAACGGCCAACCAGCAAATGGCCAGGTGCAGTTAATGTCAGACTATGACATCAGCAAGTGGAAGCATGGATGACCAAGTCGGTGGAACAACGGCCAATCAGCAAGAGGCAGCCCATGCTCTCCATTAGTATAAATAGAAGGTTTCAAGTCATTGTAAGGGTTAGCATTTCAATACTCAAGCTCTAGAATAGCATCATTTGCCCTTACTTCTTGTATTAAAGCATAGTTTCCGGCTTACCGATCGGTAAATTCCTTGTAATCAGATTGGTTAATTAATACAAGTGAGCTTTCGAGTTTTAGTTAGTTCAGATCTTATATTTTCTTTTACGCTTTGATTCTGGGCCATTCCTGATATATCCAAAGTTCGTGTTGGGCTTTCGGATCTACGGGACTTACCCTCAACAGAAGTTAAGAAAATAACTCACAACTTAAATTATCAACAAGCTTCAAAAGCAAAACCAAGAAATGGAAGTTTAGATCCTAATTTGGAGACTAAACATAGCTAGAAAAATATAAAGAAATGTTATTCTAAACTGAGCTTAAGAGTATAGAAGAAGGAATGCTTAAAAGTGAAGGAAAAATGTGCTATTTATAGGTGTTTTCAACACCCTGGATCGGATACCCGACCGGCTAAAAGGACATACCCGATCGGGTATCTGTCAAAATCAAATATTTCTCACGTTCTAGTGTTCTTCAGCACGTTTAATTGTTCGGGTCACTTCATAACCGACCGGGTAAAGTGCCATACCCGACCGGGTATGTGCCCAATTTCCCGGCAGCTTCCGTTTTCAACTCATACCCGACCGGGTAAAGAGCCTACCCGATCGGGTAAGTCACCAAATCACATTTTAGCATGATTTCTTGCTCTCTTGCACCTTCCTTTGATCTTGTAGGATCCCTTCCATGATCCTTTGTTGATCCTTGATTAATTCTTGCTCAAGAGAATTCTAAATTTACTAAATTACAACAAACTAGAAAAATAAAATGATTGAACTGTAAATGTACAATTACCACAATAACACACCGCAAAAACTAATTAAAAGTATAAATATAAATACTCAAAAACCAATGCAATCAACCCCCCACACTTAGTCTTTTACTCGTCCTCGAGTAAAATCATAAAGTTCTTACCCATCCAAAGTGTTCCAAAGTGTTTTCTTTTTCAGTTTGAACTCATCCAGACTATAGAAAGTTATTGCTTCTCCCTTCAACTGCTTGCTATGGTGAAAATGAACTCTTGCAATTACCACAATAACACACCGTAAAACTAATTAATAGTATAAATATAAATACTCAAAAACCAATGCAATCAGTGGCACACTTTGCCAAACTTAGCTTGTTTCAAATACGCAGTATATGTTTTTATATATCTAACTTCTATCGCAAATTGACACACTTTTTAATGTATGTAATTTTGTTCAAGAGAGAAGTCTTCCATTCATTATTTTTCTTACCCCGAGGGGGGGGGGGGGGGGTCGAGGGGGGGGGGGGGGGGGCTGTGGTATACTCAGATCAAACTCATTTCATTGAGTATTGAACTCAAGATCTCCCATAAGCGAGAATAAGTAGGAGACCAACTGAGGTGAGCCACTTCCTCAAGGGAGAGTGGGTCTTCCATCCATCAAATTCATCCCATATATTAGAAGTCTTGCCATATCTTACACCTCTAACCTTGGACAAACATTGTCCATACTTAGCAAAAAATCATAATGCCACTTTTTAAAGTAAGTGGAGTGAACATATTAAAGACATGTCTGTCGGTAAGAAATCGCTTCATCACAACTTCAAGGTCATTTACATTTCTTAATACAATTGTTATATGTTCTTCGACAAAATTGCTCATATTCAATAGTTTTTTTGTCCGGATAGGTGTGGCACAATATTCATCTTTACGTACTAATACAAAATTTTGAAGTTGGAAGTAGGGCCACTTGCCCCCAGCCCCCCATATCCTCTACTGTTGGTTTGTAACATGTCATTTTATCTCCATTTTTTTTATTAAAAATCCTTTTTACATTTTTTACCTTTAACCCAATCTTCTTTCAAATTATTTTAGTCATATGTATAACATGCAAAACTAGAACCAAATACACAAATTTATTACTCTATTTTAATTCCTATATTATCTCCGTTCTTTTTAATTAAAACATTGGTGAGTTTTGCACTATTCACATACTCTACATTTCAACAAAAATATTTTTTGAAAAACATTATCAAATTCATCTCATTTTTAAATTTTCAAATATGATTTTTTTTTAATTTTTTTACTAATAAGAGATGAAATGTTTTAATGATCAAAGACATGCTTTGACAAATGCGAAAAATATATCATTGTAATTAAAAAAGAACAGAGGAAACATGTATCTTCATCAGCATCTCTGGATTATAAAAATGGACTTCTGCTAGTTGGGCTGGACTCTATTGAGCTCTACTTAGAATGAGATTCAAATACTCAAATGGCTCCAGTTAATTAGGATAGAATCATAGAATAAAATACTGTAGAACTTACTGGAAGCAATGACAAAACAGAGAAACAAAAAGAGAGAATTCCCGATATGGGAGTTAAACATAGAAAATATGCAAAAATAGGAGTCCTATGAGTTACTTATGTTTCACACGGAAGTTTTAATAGACACTGACCAAAGTACCCTTAATGATGAAATCCCTGTTTGTTTAATTTATTTACTAACTGACACAAACATAAAAAAGAAATTACACATGTGTACAGCCTGTTCTCAACATATCACCACACCAGATGTGGTGATGGACTATCACCTCTTGTTCAGCCACCATCGATCGCCACCGTCGCCGGTCGCCACCGTCGCTGGCCGCCGGATGCCGCCGGACGTCACTGCCAGCTGTCACCTCCGGCATCGCCTAAACTGCCTTTACTATCAAGCAAGTCTTCATCTGCTGCTGTTGCCCTCTATCTTCCATCGCCGCGACACTATCCTCTTGGATTGCCGCCATATGCTCCACCACCGCCAATTCAACTAGTGTACCTGCTTCCATGTTTGTCCAGTTAGTTGCAGAACTCCTACCAGATACATTATTACCATCTTCATAAAAATAATGAAATATTATTTAATGTCATTTTAAAATCATAATGTCATTTTGTAAAAAAAAATACATGACATTAACATTTGTAAAACATGACATTATTTGCCTAACATATCCATGTAATTGCCATCTTTACGAAATTAATAACGACTTCATAAATGTAAAATGACATTATTTGCCAAACATATTGAAAAACACTTCACAAATGTAAAATGGCATTATTTGCCAAACATATTAAAAAACATGGAATATTTAAAATAATTTTGCCATTTTTGAAATGGCAAAAAAAAATAGAAAGATAAAATAAAGAGTCAAAGGAATAAAAGGTCAGAAAAATTGAAAGACCGGAAAATGGAGATTGAAGCTTGATAAATTAAAATCTCTAAAGGGAAAAGAACATTCATTCACTTAAAAATCAAATCAAAATTTGATTGTAATGAAGCAAGAGGTTGACGCTCCAAAAAGGTGCAGTTGGTTGTTATTTTGGTTGTCTATAACACTCAAGCTACAAAACACAAGGCTATGCCACCGACCAAAATAAGAGAAGGAAGAAGAAATAGAAGACAAATGAGAAGAAGAGATGAAGGAAGAGGAGAAAAAGATCAAAACTTACCTATGATTATTACCGCCGTCCGCCGGTGACCGGAGTTGGTGAAGAAGCCTGGAAATGGAGAGACATCACCGATTGACTGATGAAATCAAGAGAGCAGATTTGGCCGCCGGAGCAGTTTTCCCTTTACATTTGAAATCAATGGGAAAGAGAATTGTTTAGATGTGAAAATAGGGATGAATACATGAATGACGGGGATGGAAGGAATTTGAATAGATAAGAATAGAGAGGCGGTGGAATTCGAAGAGATAAGAAAGGAGAGATGGTACAATTCGTGAGTGCCTGACAACTATTGAAGGAAGAGAAATAATTAATTCAGGAAAGGTAAATCAGGAATAAATAAATTTAGAGAATCAATTGAAAGCTCCTATTCGAGAAACAATTCAATAGAAACTCCTATTTTTGGAACTTGTTTCTTGTTTTACTCCTATCTAAGGCAAATACTTGAACAAAAACCAGACAAAAATAATAGAGGCTCCCCTCGCGCCAGCATTCACCAACCACAGAACCTCACCTCTCTTCCGTATCTTTAAGCCGCCTCTCAACAAACGCTAACACAGATTGCTACCATGTCTGGAAGCGGCGTCGTGACGGTCTACGGAAACGGCGCCATCGCCGAGACGGCTACCAAGCAGTCCCCCTTCTCCGTCAAGGTGGGCCTTGCCCAGATGCTCCGCGGCGGCGTTATCATGGACGTCGTCACACCCGAGCAGGCCCGCATCGCCGAGGAAGCCGGCGCTTGCGCCGTCATGGCCCTCGAACGCGTCCCCGCCGACATCCGTGCCCAGGGAGGCGTCGCCCGCATGTCTGACCCTCAGTTGATCAAGGAGATCAAGCAGGCCGTCACGATTCCCGTCATGGCCAAGGCCCGAATCGGGCATTTCGTGGAGGCTCAGATCCTCGAGGCTCTCGGCATCGATTACGTCGACGAATCGGAGGTTCTCACCCTCGCGGACGACCAGAACCACATCAATAAGCACAATTTCCGCATCCCCTTCGTCTGCGGCTGCCGGAACCTCGGCGAAGCGCTCCGCCGCATCCGCGAGGGCGCCGCCATGATCCGGACCAAAGGTGAGGCCGGCACTGGAAACATTATCGAGGCCGTCCGCCACGTCCGGTCCGTCATGGGAGACATCCGAGTGCTCAGGAACATGGACGATGACGAGGTTTTCACTTTCGCGAAGAAGATTCAGGCACCTTATGACCTTGTGATGCAGACCAAGCAACTGGGAAGGCTCCCGGTGGTTCAATTCGCAGCCGGAGGGGTGGCTACACCTGCTGATGCGGCGCTTATGATGCAGCTCGGCTGCGACGGCGTCTTCGTCGGATCAGGGATTTTCAAGAGCGGCGACCCGGCCAGGAGGGCGCGGGCAATTGTACAGGCGGTGACACACTACAGCGACCCAGAAGTGCTGGCTGAGGTTAGCTGTGGGATTGGAGAGCCAATGGTTGGGATCAATCTCAATGATCACAAGGTGGAGAGGTATGCCAATCGTTCTGAATAAGAATTTCCCCCTCAAAAAGGCTATAGAATGATCCAATTTAGTTTCTGCAGAGGTTCTTATGGAAATCTAAGTGTATTGCTCAAAATATTTGATTCATACTTTGTATGAACCGTAGTATGTTTGTGGTGATTTTTGTTTTAAGTTTCAGTGAAGGTGTTTACTTTTTGTAATCCATTGTCATGGAAGGGATCTGAGATGTATTCTCAAGCCCTCCCTAATGCTCTTGTGATGCATTGTTTTTCACACTGCTTTGGAATTTGAAATTTTGTGCTTGAAATTTATCTAGAAAAGGATAGTATCAAGAAAATTTAATGTCAGTTTCTGGAGTAGGGCGAAAAGGTCTTTCCAAAGTATCTTTGATATATACATATTCTATTTTATTTATAAGAATTTGTAGGACAAGTGCCTCCAAAGTCTAAGGTGTACGCCTGGAGGTGCTTTTCTATGCTTATAGCTTAAAAAGACCCTTTGTTTTTATTTTAAAAAAGGCTCATATATGATATATCCTCTGCTAAATCCAAACAAGTCTAGTTTCATTTATATCCTAACATGTACTTTTCTATTAAATATTCTACACGTCGTTAAAATTTATTCATACTTCTCTACAAAGAAGCAGATGGGTAGCCAAGAAAAAAATAAGAAAAACAAAAGTAATGGAGATGAATGGCGATGAAGAAGAGAAATAATTTAATGATTTTGATAGTGACGATGGAGGGGAATAAGGGGTGACGATGAGAAGAATATGCGATAGAATGATTCTTAGAAGATTTTCGAGCCATGATGATTTTAGGTTTGGGAGTTTTATATTGTTTTCTGTGTGAATTGTGATGCGTCTATTTTGTATTTAAAGTCTTAGTTTGAGTTATCATGTTTGATGATGTGATCATGTGTGTGTGTGAGAGACTTTTTGGACTTTAATTATGCATATCTATAGTTGGTTGGTTAGTACTAGTTTAATTATTTTAAGTTTTAATTGTTGACAAATTTTGAGGCTTACGTCTTCATCTCTTTTAAACAAACTACCTTGTTACCCGAACTAGCCTTTGCAAACCTTAGTCAAAATAGTACCAAAAATAATCCTAACCAAACACAGTATCGATAATCCCAATAAAAAACACTTGACCAAGTTATTAACACTTCCAAAAAATGATAGTTACTTGGTGGTAGACATGTATTCGGGCCGGGAGGATTAAAAGTGGCAAAAACTCTTTTATGTAAAGACATAAATTAGATATTCTTTTTCAACATTCACTTCTTTCATCTATCTCCACTTGACCACTTGTATAGTAAAAAATAAATATCTTTAATGTAGAATATTCGCCTAAAAGTTGAAGTTCGGGTCTAAAAATGTCACTCCCGAGTCAAGGTACGATATCTCACTTTTTTCGGCACCTATAGAAATCTCAACGGTGGCGGGGGGGGGGGGGGGGGGGATAGGTCTACTTTTGGCCATAGAAAATGACCTAAACATGTAAACATAAAAGAAGAATCATTCAAATATTGTTAAGCAATTGAAAGGAAAGAGAACTTTAGAGAGGCTTATTGACGTAGGAGGTCATGGAACTCAATGTACCAACAAAGATTGTCCAAAAAATGTGACGTACAAAAAAATAAAAATTGGAGATTGGCGTACCAAGAGTTTTGCTAGGAGTACCCCAAAATGTACCCCATTTTTACCTCATCTCCTAATTTGTGGCCATAAATGGACCAATTCATTTAAGCGTTGCCCCACTTAAATGAATTGCACCATTTATGGCCACACATTAGGGGGTGGGGGTAAAAATGGGGTACATTTTGGGAACTTAGGGTACCTTTAGCATTTGTGGCTTACCAATATATGTTCTTAGCAATCAGAAGGGACATGTGGAGAGAAAATCAAAAGCATTGGACTTGCAAAAAGTTACAGAAATTCTTTACCACCATAGAAAAATAGGAGAACTTTGGGCTATGCAATGGACATGTCCAAGTCTACCATTCAAAGGTGATTTAAGGGAAGCATATAAAAAGAAACTCAAATGTAATTAGTCCCTTTTAAATGATGCATGAAAGGTAAAGAGGCGCATGAAAGGTAAAGAGGCTAGATTTCTGCTGTAGAAAACATAAATCCTTCTTCACTATCCTTCATTACCCCAATATTTCTTGACTTTTTTATCACATAAACATAGATGAGAATTGATTTATAAAAAAATAAACTATCACATTCTACACACTGTCCACGTATGAGGACTCCTACAACACAAACCAGTCAAAAAAGTCATATAAAAGTTTATGTTGTTAGCAGTTGTGGGTAGACCTATAGTGTGGGACAATGGGGAGTCTTTATGAGATGGAAAGGTTGGAATCTTTTCATTCACTTATCAAGACCGGCCAAGAGAACAAGTAAAATTTGACGAGCAGGAACATTAGAGACTAAGACAACTCTGAATGTTAAAATAGCAGTACTGCAGAGCATTACACTAAATCAACTACTACTAACAACAAAACAGAAATAATTGGATGCACATAGCATGAGTACAATCATTCAGCAGGATAATGTAAGACCTCACATTGATGTTATTGATCCATATTTTGTGAGGTATTCCACACAAGATGGATATAATATCCAACTCAGATGTCAACCACGTATTAGTACAGACCTTGATGTTCTGGACTTAGGTTTTTAGGGAAATAAATGCAATGATCACATTGCTCAATATCACAAGGCACAAAAAGTGTAACCATTATGAAGTTAGTAAATGCAATGATCACATTGTTTGAAGAGCTTACACTTGCTACAATGAACAAGGTGTTCATAAATTATGGTGGCAATGATTTCAAGTTGGCATGTAGGCAAGGACATATTGCAAAGGCGGGGTTGCTACCTAAGAATGTGTAAATTTGTCCAAAGTTGTATGAGACAACAATGACAAGTTTGGTTGACATTTGGCAACTACCATATCACAACATGTAACTCAAGAATATGAGTTCATAGGTGAAGACATATAACAGCTTTACATATGAACTTTCAGGTTGTAATAAACACACAAGTCATTTTTGTTAGTAGCACACTTATTTTTGCTAGTATTTAGTTGTAAGTTTTAGTATGCAATTGTAGGTGATAGACAATGTACTAACTATGTGTACTCGCCAATCTAGTGTACCCTACTTAATGTAAGCCCAAGTGTAAGATGATGTTGTTAATTGGATTTTGTTTTGCAAGTCAAGTGTATGTTATAAACTATCACATAGTATTGAAACACCAACATGACACAAAAAATGCTAACAAATATAGCTCTATATCATAATTAGTTACAAATAAGAGTTAAGACATTATGACCACATAATTCTGAATATCAGACCACATCATAAGCACAACACACAAATCATTCAATATGACAAGCACATGGATAAGATATGGACTTCAAGACATCATGACCATACATTTCTGAGTATCAAAACACATCATATATAGAATACACAAAAGCATTCAAGCATTAAAGTGGGTAAAAAGTGCGGTGACATTTTGTAAATAAATCATTTTTTTCTTTGCAAAAGTGGACTTTTTGTGTCAATAGTGGATGATGAAAATCACGTGAATACAATAATGCACCTCAAATGATTAAAAGTAAAATCGTTCGCACTTTATACGAGAAAATCACTTTTTCTTCTTGGGTAAAAAGGAGACTCCCCTGCTGCACGCTAGGAAAAGGACTGGACGAGCTTGTTGTCTCGGCTGGGAGAAACCTCACTACAATACTTTCATGGGAGGAAGAAGAAGAAGATATTGTTCTCTTTCGCGCAGATGAACAGTGGACGCTCTGTCATCGACGAAAACCAGCCACTGTGACTTTGCGCCGAACATGAACGTGGTTGTAGCAGGGAGTCGGCGGGGACAACTCCATGAAGGGTATAATAGGATTTTTTTCTTTTATGAAAGAGGGAGTCTGCAGCTCAGGTCCAATTCCCCTCTTTCCCCTTACCCCTTTCCCTTAGCCATGTGTAGACGGCCCATCTACCCAAGTGAAGCACCGGCAGCCCGCAGCCCGCAACCCTTAATTATAAAAAAGTTATCAGTCTAAAAAAATGTTAATTATATTGTAAATTTGTAATTGTGGATATGTTGATTTAGTTAACATTGTTAGTTTATTATAATGTAATTTTTACAATTATACAAATATTATTTCAATTGTAGTCGATCTAGGTTGTTTGATAAACAATCGCTATGTTAGAATATTATACATCGATTTTTTTAGAAGAATAATTTAATTTCTTCGTCAGATAATGTCATTCATAACAATAAAAATAATATTAAAAGGGCTTGAATAGAAGTTCAATTGTTGGATGATGACATTGTTGGTGATCCTAGATTGCATAAACTGATCGAAACTTATGATGTTAATATTAGAGACGAGTTGAGGAGACGTTATTTGACAAAAGTCCCTTGCCAACCATGCTAATATTAGAAGTTGGTGTGTTTATTTTTGTATTCATGAGTCCTAATATGCCCCCAAGTCACGAGTCCTGGTTCCGCCATTGGCTCCATCCACACTCTGTAGCTTCTCATCCTCTAAACCGTCCTCTTTTCTGGAGTCGCTCAGGTTATTCATCTCTTTTCTTTAGCTGAGTTAGAACTCAGATTACGTCCATCTCACTTGGAACCCCATTCATCTCCCTTCTTCAGCAAACTATTCACAAAATAAAGATAATTTTCTACTCACAGAAGGAAGCACTTCTACCGTCCAATTTCTCACTGACCCCCAACTAGTGACCGATGATTGAACCATAGGTGATCCCTCACTAATCCTGGAGTTTACTTTGTGACAATCCATTTCACATAGAAAAGCTCAATATGGGTGTTGATGGGACGTCCGGTCACGTGCACTCCGCCACCCCCTCGGCGGTTCCAAAATTTCTCCATACTCCAATCCTCTTTTATTGATTCACATCTTGAATTGTGTAATAATTAAATAATTAAAGTTGAAGATACATTTAAGCTATGTTTTCATTTTTTTTTCTTTATTTGATTACTAAAATAATATCTATATTTTAAAGTTTAAACACAATTTTTACATAACTTAGCAGATTCAGTCAATTCTATCACCTCAGTCAAAACTTCATAAATTTCAGCAAAAACAACTGTTTTTTTTTTCATAACTTTTGTTTGTTAAATAACTGATTAGTTCATATTCATAAATCTTTATTGTTGATTGTATATTTGTTATCTATTAATTGGTTATGCCCTTGTTGATATTCACTTTAGCTGAATAGTTCATAGTTTTCTTAAAGCTATAATTTTAAACTTCATAGTTGTTGACTTGTTTAATTTGAAGTGATTAGTGATTCATATACTATGTAATTAAATTTGGATTTTGTGTTCGTCTTATATATTACTTTGGTAGGATTTTGAATTATAATTTATAAATTTAACGAAGGATAATTTGTAATTGTGTTTCTACTTTATTTATTTTAATGAATTATTTTTTATTATATTTTAAAGGTCTTTAAATATTATTATAATTATAAATGTTACTTTAGACATAAAAGAGTTTTTCAATTTTTTTAAGATCGAGTCTATTTTTGATTACCCGCTCCTAGGCTTTCAAACATACATGAGTGGCCTTGCTTTTGACCTTTTGCTTTAAATAGTTATTTTATGTTATTATTAGATCTTTCTTGAATGTGTCATAAAAAACATTTCGTGTACTCGGCATTGGAGAAGCTTAATAGAATTGCTAAAACTGCAGAAGGCCGTTCGCACCCTGCTTCCCAAAATGTCATTTCCAAACTCCTGCAAATGTGTTTATCCATCTCATATCCTATGGGTTGTCACGTCCTTTCCCTATCCTTAAAGTTACTTAGAAATCTCCGTGCAGGGGAAATAAGAAACCAAAATTCTTTCCTTGAAGAAAATGGATTGGAAGTTATCTCAACTATTATAACTTCCATATGAGTCGCTTCTGATTATGATGCTGAGATTGTTCGAATGGCTCTGCAACTTCGGGTTAATTTTGTGTTGGCTGGTGGTGAACATCAGCGGGTTGTTAGATGCAAATTCTTTCCAAATGGGTTCTTGAAGCTTGCCAGGGTAAGAAGCAGTGAGACTTGTGATCCCTTGTGTATGATTATTTACACTTGTTGTGAAGGGGATGATAAGCTATTAACTGATTTATGTAATGAACAAGGGTTGCCCGTGGTTGTTGAAATTATAAGGACAACATGTATGGGTATGTGTAATCATATTACTTATACATTTGTGCAACTTTTAGTAATGAATAGATAAAAGGCATGCACATTTTCTCTTGGGGCAAAATGATTTAATTCATTATTTGTTTTCACAGGGAGCAGGTTCAATTTGCTTCTATCAAAAATTTGCATTGAAGGGTATCACACTGCATTAGTTTTCTTCAAGTTAGATCCAGATTATGCTGCTGGTATGATTCCTGCGGATGGCCATTATGTTTCTGAGCAAGCATATACTTTGCGCACCCTTTCTGACGTATTGAACGGCGGAATAGAGGTTTTAGCTGTAAACTCTGATTTTTCTTTGTGCATTTTTGGGATACTAAGAAGTGCTGCTGGCGGTGTTGATTTTACCACTAGAGGAAAAATAGGTCTTCCGACCAGCTCCATTCTTGTATATGTTCTATGGTATTCTTTGACCATTTTGAGAGATATTTGTGCATGTGATCGCCGCACTGGTTTCAAAGATGATGTTGTGGATGTGCTCGTTTCATTTGGACTGATTGAGTTGCTACTTTCTTTCCTCCGTACCCTTGAACCTCAGGCAATAATTCAAACTACGATGAAGCAACAGCAACACCGCGAGAACCGCCAAGAGGAGGAAGAGACCACCATGTCTTCTCCTCAGATTGTCGCATGTTGTCCTTACAAAGGTTTTATGAGAGACATTGTTGCAATACTTGGAAATTGTGCATACAGGAGAAAGTACGTGCAAGATGAAATTAGGGAGAAAAATGGCATTGTTTTATTATTGCAACAATGTGTCCCTGATGAAGATAACCCCTTCTTAAGGGAATGGAGTATTTGGGCAGCAAGGAATCTATTTGAAGGAAACACAGATAACGAAAGAGTTGTTGCAGATTTAGAGCTTCAGGGGACCTTAAATGTTCCCGAACTTGCTCCGTTTGGTCTTCGAGTAGAAGTAGACCCTAGAACTCATCGTGCCAAGCTCGTAAACTGACGATTAGACTAGAATCTCGGATCAGTGATTGCTACCCTATTGATCATTTGATTGTATCTTGCTTATATTTATATTTTTGAATTATGTATTTTATTATACTCCGTTGTGATGTTATGTTATTACTCAAGTAAAAGCCCTCATTTTGAGAAGAGGGAGGAAGGCATACACTATTTATGGGGAAATTGGGGAAACTTCAAATTCTCAATATCAAATGTAAATTAAGAGTATAATGTCGTCCTAAATAGAAACAATTAATGAAACGCTTGACAAATAATTTCAGAATGATACGTTCATTGTCATATTAATGTTTAATAATGTCAAATTATTACATTGAGTTTGTACTTTTTAACGAAATAATTAAGTTTGTGAAGTATAAAAAATGACAAAATCGGCTATTTTACGGGTAATCAACCGGTTATCCCGTTAATCATCTACGTGGATGTCCCAATTAACGTTTTTACTGTTGTTTTCTATTTTTTGATAATTTTACTTTTTCCCCTTTTTCCTTACTTTTTGCCTTTTAGCTTGGATATTACTGAAAATAGGATAAAAGACAAAAAAGTGATCTTTATTTAAAAATTCCAAAAATGTGACCAACAATATCCCAATTACCCCCTATTGTGCAAAGTGACTCCGCCCAAAGTGACTTTGCCCCAACAGTGATTGTCTACCGGCCACAGTGACACGTCGTCTTTGGTGTCACAGCCCATCTCTCCCTCGCTCCTCACATCTCCCTCAACCAACTCCGCCCTAGGGCCTCCGCGGACCATCAACGAATTCACCACCGACCGACGCAGTCGATCGTCACCCCATCCCCGGTTTGACTCCCCAACCCCCTCCCTAGCCCCTGCCACCTCCCTAACCCCCTCCTATCCCCATGGCCCCTGCAATCTCCCTATTCCTCAAGCCCCCTCCCCAGCCAACATCCCAACCCCCATCTCCTCCACCCCATCTCCCCTGCCCCTATCACTCAAATCCAAGGACCACCATCTGCCTCGTAACACCCCCGTCTCAGAAACCCTTCATAGCTAGCCCCAACCCCTCCCCTCCCCTGTCACAGTCCCATCCCCAACACCCTTCACGGCTAGGCCCACCCCCTCCCCTTTCCAGTCACAGCCTCATCCCAACACCATTCACAACGACCAACTACCTATTCAGCCCACCTTCCCGAACCTAGCCCCTTCCCCAACCGCCGCACCATTGATAGACACTAGTTGTTAGTGCCTAAGTATATATTTTTATTATTGTTTGTAATGTTTATTTATTAGTTTTGTGCAAGTTTGTATGTTGTGAATATTTTATGGTGTCCAATCTAATTAAATATTTTTGTATTTGTGTAGTTATTAATTAAATGTGTAATATGGGCCACAAATGTATTTCAGCCCAGTAGCCCACTTGTGAGCCTTAAGTTAGACATCCTTTTGTATAAAAGGATACTAACTTAAGGAAACCCTAACTCTCACAAACCTCTACACACATTAACACACATATCATTTTGTAAGGCTTTCACGATATAAGGAAGAGGGAGTTCATCGTTCAAATATTGTTAAATCATTCTATGATTCTCTGCTTCTATTATATTGAATGATTGTTGATTGATTTAGGGACAAACAATTGGTATCAGAGCCGAGCGTGAAATCGATTGAATATTTTCTGCATTTTTCGAACCTGCCATTGACGGGAAGAAGATTTTTCGAAAAAATAATTTTCTGGTATTTCTTGGTTGCATCGACCTGGTTTGAACACTTTTCTGCGTTTGCTGGATGTTTTCGATCAACATTTGAGATAAAGAAGACTGAAATTCTGGTTTTGAAATTGTTGAGATTTCAAAGTTTTGAGTTTTTTCCGCAGGTTTTGCGAAGAAGACGGGTTTCACGAAGTCCAGGATTTTGACATTTTAAGATTTCGAGATTTTGGGATTTCAACATTTTAGGATTTCGACATTTTGATATTTCGATATTTTACGATTTCGAGATTTCGACATTTTAGGATATCGAGATTTTGAGATTTCGACATTTTAGGATTTCGAGATTTTGAGATTTCGACATTTTAGGATTTCGATATTTTGAGATTTCGACATTTTAGGATTTCGAGATTTTGAGATTTCGACATTTCGAGATTTCGACTTTTAGGATTTCCCATATACCCGGTCGGGTATGAAGCGATTTCGGGCAAAAAGACGTGCAGAAGAACACAAAGGCGTGCGAAAAAGATATGATTTGACAAATACTCGGTCGGGTATCCGGCCATAGGTGTTGAAAACACCTATAAATAACCCCATTTTTCTTCACTTTTCATCATCCCTTTGATAGAGTATAAGTCTAGAGAGAAGTGAGAGCTAGAGAGAGAAGTACAATAAGTTCTGCAATTAATGAATTTATCAACCCCTACAACTACTCCCAAGAGGAGTATTTATAGAGGAAATGTGGGATGGGTTCCCAAGTCTTGGGCTTGGGAGGCCCATTTACAATGGGGCCACTACTGGGCCAAGTACAAAGTATGTAGGAATGGCTAAGTACAGAACCCGGCTCTGGGAGCTCTTTGTGGCCGACGAGGGTCTGACCGACGGAGGCATGGCCGACGGAGACCCGGCCGACGGAGACCCGGCCGACGGGGACACCGGCCTGGTTCTCCTGGCTTCTGGATCATATTCTGAGTTGACGTATTTCTGGCCGATGAAGGTCATCTGGCCGACGGGGGTCACACTAGGTGGCAGCCGTGCTTCTTATCCTTCTGAGTATGTGGGTCCTGGGGTCTGGATCCATATACTCCATCAAGAGTCCCCCACTCTCTGAGCTGAGATGCAGACAAAGTGAAGGAGAGTAAATTCCTGCAATTTTGATGTTTTTGGCCGGCGCGGGGCACTGTGGTGTTTTCTATGTTTGGCCGTTGTGTACTCCTTGTCGTGGACGAAGGGGGTCCTTGTTATGCGGATGGTGCGTGCTTTTTTGTTTGAGGACGACGAGTGTCCTTGCTTAGTGGCCATTATGCGTCTTTGAGTTGGGGACGAGGAGAGTCCTTTGTTTTGGGTAGCCGGTGACGTTTTCTCTCTTTGGCCGTCGCTGATTGCCTTTCGCGCTCCTGGATGAGGAGGCACCATGCTTGTTCTTAGCACTCCGGGCCGAAGCGATATTTAGTCGTAGCTTAGTGTCCATGGCTTTGGGGACGATAATGGTACTGGATCAGAGGACGTTGTGGTGTTACTTTCTTATCTTGGCCGATGGTGGGGTACATGAGCCAAGGCCATTGGGGGCGCCATGTGTCACCTTCTGGGGTGCGCTTTGCTTCCTTGTTTGCTTTCCCTGCTGCAGCCCATAGTGTGTCACAAGGTCCTGCACGTTATGGTGCATAGACGATGCGATTTTGTTGTAGTTGTGTATTTGTGCATTTCTTGGATTTTCAATTTTATCCCTGTGTTTGAATGTCGGTGTAGTCCCCCAGTCCCCCACTACTTCAGGCCGAAGGTTGAGAGGGGTGAAGGAGTAAAACAAATGTAGGCCGAAGCGGGATCCTCATATTTCCCCTGAATCTAACCCCTTGGCGATTCCTGACCAAGGTAACCCTCTAGGAGAACCCTTGGACGCTTTCAAGAAGTTATCAATAGTAGGTTTTATACGAGGGCCGATGGTTGTTGGGTTGTTTTTCACTCTGCTTTCATAGCTCGGTTGGTTAGAGCACCCGTTTGGTAAGCAGAAGGTCTTGAGTTCGACTCTCAATGAAAGCACCAAATGATAGAGTATAAGTCTAGAGAGAAGTGAGAGCTAGAGAGAAGTGCAATAAGTTCTGCGATTAATGAATTTATCAACCCCTACAACTACTCCCAAGAGGAGTATTTATAGAGGAAATGTGGGCTAGGCTTCCAAGTCTTGGGCTTGGGAGGATCATTTACAATGGGGCCACTACTGGGCCAAGTACAAAGTATGTAGGAATGGCTAAGTACAGAACCCGGCTCTGGGAGCTCTTTGTGGCCGACGAGGGTCTGGCCGACGGAGGCATGGCTGACGGAGACCCAGCCGATGGGGACACCGGCCTGGTTCTTCTGGATCATATTCAGAGTTGACGTATTTCTGGCCGATGAAGGTCATCTGGCCGACGGGGGTCCCACTAGGTGGCAGCTGTGCTTCTTATCCTTCTGAGTATGTGGGTCCTGGGGTCTGGACCCATATACTCCATCACCCTTCTTCCATATACTTAAGCTCAGTTTAGAATAACATTTCTTTATATTTTTCTAGCTATGTTTAGTCTCCAAATGAGGAGCTAAACTTCCATTCTTGGTTTTGCTCTTGAAGCTTGTTGATTATTAAAGTTGTGAGTTATTTTCTTAACTTCTCTCCTTGAATATTAATTCTTCCCTTAATCTATTTCTATATTAATGTTGGGGAATGTTGCTAAGATGACAATTAGTCAACATCTCAATATTAATTATTACTAGAAACGATCAATGAACTGATGGTTAATCGTTGATGATTTCACAAGTAAGTAACTTCGGTTTATTAATGCATGGTCGTGATTAATAAACTTAAGAGGGATTAATTTTGTTGGTTAAACCGAAACCGTTGTGTTGAGGTTATCAATCTCAATTGATTTCATCAAGGAGTTAGAAAGATTAAATGCTACTATTAAATCGGTATAAGGCGTTGTTCTATATTTGATTAATAGTAAGGATTATTAATGAACGGTCATTGTTAATAACTACCCTCGATAAATTGGATATACTCCTCGATTGAGTATTCGAGAGGAGATAAGTTATAGATATGACAAGGATCGACTAAATATATCAACAAGTGGAAAGTAGCAAAGCCAAGTTCCCTTTATCTTCGAACTAAAACACATATAGGTTGTTCATCTCAGTTTTTAATTAAATTAAATCATTCAACCCCAAAACCCCCTTTTAAATACTAGTTTCATTAAAAAGAGAATTATTCATTTCCCTGTGGATACGAACTCTACAAAACTATACTATGTATAAGTGTTAAGTATTGAATTTATTTTGATGCACTACGACAAAGTGCTCGTCAAATTTGGCGCCGTTGCCGGGGAAATGCAATTAATTTTTCTTTTTATTTCTTTCAAGAAAAATAAAAAAAAAATAAAAAAAATCTTACTCTTCTATTTTCTGAACTTACATGAGTATATGTATACCAACACATCATCCTTAGAGAGTCAAATTTCTGCCTTGACTTCTCTAATAAAGGAGTCTATCTTATGCTCAAAAGCCAGAGATGTCAAGACTTGCAACATTT